CTTTTATTCATCGAATTCCTGCGTTTCTGCCGTGAAATTTACGGCGAAAGTGTATTTTAGGATTTTGAACTGGTGCTGAATAAAATTCTTTCTTAGCCTAAACTTATAAATTCGTTTGTATCTGGTGCATGTCAAACCCATGTGTAGCTCAAAGGTCAAACAGGGATTGTCACTCTCTAAATTGGCTCGCCATTAAGTCTTGTGATCGCCTTCGTAAGAAATTTTTTTGTTGTTGTTGTTGTCGTTGTTAAGTCCGCGTTTTACTAGTCCGCGATTTTCTAGTCCGCGTTTTACTAGTCGGCGCTTTACTAGTCCACGTTTTACTAGTCCGCGTTTTACTAGTCCGCGCTTCACTAGTCCGCGTTTTACTAGTCCAGTCCAGTCCAGTCCAGTCCACGAAATACCATATGCCGTCGTCGTGTTGCTGTTTCTATTTTCTTCAACAAAGCAAGAAATTTCTAGGTCGTCTAGCTGTTTTTCTTCGTTTGATTCATCTAATAAACTCGGATGTATATTTGTCAGCCATTCTGACTCTTCGTCGTCGGAAATAAGATTCAAATTGTCCCCCATTTTTTTTTCGTTACTACAATTCAACTCTTCGTTTGCGCGATGCGAGAGAGTTAACCGGTACTCTAGAGTACAAATACCGCGTGATATTTGTACTCGTCTATGGCGTTATTTGTACTCTACGAAGTGTAGTTTGATAATAATCTCCTCTACTTCATATCATGTAGAGGAGCCCTTCGTGTGCTCTTGCCAAGTATTATTCGACACTACTCACTCCAGCATGAGGGAACAATTACTAGTCGCTCTGACGTACTGCTACTCGAAACTTCAGCTGTAGATACTTTATATGGAGGCCAATCAACTCAGTCGAGAAAACCAAGGTATTTTGTGAAAAGAATAAAGAAACTGTGGTGCTCCAGGGTGGGGCCGCCGGATGGAGAGATACAAGATTATAGTCGAGAGAATTCTGAAATAATATGGAACGCAGTTCTTTACACGAGCAATATATCTGAAAGCTAGTTCACCGGAAATGAAGGTGTGTACTCAGTTGTAACGGCAAATCAAACCGCTTTCAGACATTTCCGTGAACGTGGGTTACGTCATAAAAGTATGGCATGGAAGAGCTTGCTGCAAGCGTAGACAGACTTATTGGGTATGTTTTTTAAAAAGCTCTCAAGCGTAATACCCGATTTCGTGCCCATAGTGTATACAAGTGCTCGTTCTCAGTTCGTGCTTTCCATCTTTCCTTTTCTTTGCTTTCTCTCTTTTCTAGATAGTAAAATTGAAAAAGCACAACAATTTCTCCGATCTACGTGGCAGAACTCGAAACTAAGGCGGAATAGCTATTGTTAGATCATAAGTGATCTGAATATCGTGAAAGATGTAACCTAAAGAGCAAGGCCAATATTGGAAACTACTCAATTTGTTCCTGTCTTTTGTGTGGCTCGCATGACTTCAGAAGAACGCCGGCCTTTGGCACTGAGCGTACATTCTTCAAGGCGACATTTTATGCCGGATACTAACAGGAGTTAAAAAGAAACTAATTCTAGGCCGGGGTTGAAGCCATTTCAGGTCAAGATAGGTTTAGCTGAGTTTTTATTCCTTGACTTTCTTGTCTGAAATCAGCAAGCTTCTGTTTATATCTTAAATTAACATAGTGATTGAGCCAATTCTTTACTCTGTTTGTTTAACTGTGCTATGCCGACAAAGTACATCGTAGACTAAATACACAACAGCTACACCTCCTTCCTTTAACACACGAAGCGTAATGTATACAATCACGTTTGATTTTACTTTTCTGATCTTCTATGTACAGGAATCACTGGGAAAAGGAAGGTCCCCATTTCCAAAATAAGTTTGGAAAGAGATCCTCCTCTACATCGACCAACGGCTGGATTACATCTTTTGCATCACAAAAAAATTTTTCAAGGAAGTAAAAATTCTGAAGTACTCCGCTCTAATAGAGCGATTCATGATGCCGTATATGACGGGGTTTAACGAAGTGCTGGAAAATCCAAAACAAGTGTAGCTCACATACACTTGGCGTTTTAGTTTCCAGTCGGCGTTTATAAAATCGACCATATCTATCACCAAGACAGGAGTCCAGCAGGTTAGAAAACCTATTACAACCGCAAAGAGAATGTAGGTAATGTTCACTTCTTCGACGGATAGCCCACTGTCAGATAGCTGATCCATTTGTCTTCTTCGCTGATTGCGTTGAAAGTGAAGGTTGTGTTTACGCACCGCTATAAATACTTTTGTGTAACAAGTTATGATGATCATCAGGGGAATAGCCACGTAAACAAGAACCAGATAAGCCCCATATCCTTGATTCAAACTTTCAAAATCGTGCGCGCAGAAAACTTTGCCAGTGTGAAAGAAAAACTCGTGGCCGAAAACAACGTATGGTAGGGGCGCAAACAAAGCCAGGATCCACAAAATTGCGATTGTTATTTTCGTTTTCTTTAAGGTGAAGATTTTTTGATATAGAGCACGGGATCGGGCGACAAGGACATATCTGTTGACAGCGGTGACAGCTAAAGTTTCTAACGATACGGCACACATAAGAAGAATCCAGAATCCTTGAAGCTGGCAGACAAAGTTGCTGAACGGCCATTTTCCAACAATTAAAGAAGCGGCTGAAAACGGAATTCCCAGCAAAGACATGAGGAAGTCCGCAACAGCTAGGGTTATGATGTACATGTTTGGAACAGTGCTGCGAAGATTCGGGTTTCTGATGACAGCGATTCCCAGCAGAAGATTTCCAGCAAAGGAGACAAAGTTGATCAATAATATGAAGAACGACTCGGTGGCTTGAGTTGCAGGAGAACGGTCTTGCAACTGGCGGGCGAAGTTTTCAATCACGTTAAGCGTTGCATTCATTTTAGACTTCAATCCCAAATGAATGTTTTAATGAAGTATAGAAGATGTTGTTCAGTAACAACTCGTTAAAACACTTTGTTAACAACTCGTTTTCAGATAATCGTCCTCGTGGTTCCACGTGGCGTGATTGCAAATTTACGCCGACTCGAGCCTGTCCACTTTCGTTCCTGAAGGCTGCGGAATATTGAACCTCGATGTATTTTAAGCAGCCTTTTTTTATCAACAAATCAACAATATTAAGAAAATGCCTAACCGCAGCTTATACTGGCCGCATTCCAACCTTACCGCAGAAACCAAAACTTTTAAAAGGAAAATGAACTATTTCTAGCATCAAAAAACTTTCAAAGTTCCGGTGGTGCGCATGTGCGATGGCTGGTGTAATTCGATCAATTTTGGCACAAAATTGAAGAAATTCTGAAATTGAAGTTTCCATGTTGAATAACACTGATTAGATTGCTTTTGTTTACATTAGTGCCATAAAATTACAGCTGTCAGGTCTGGACTCTTGAATTCTCAAGGCGAGTGTAAGATAGGCCGATATCAGGGGCAAAGGACTTAAATGCAAGATAGGGAAGGGAACTCTTAAAGCGGAAAACAAACAATATTGAAACCAAGCTGATATTACACGACAGAGCATAACGAAACAGTAAAAGATTTCGATCTCAGTCATTATTTAAAGGTTTTGGCAAGCCTTTTGGGGATATTTGACATGAAGTGAAAATTCAAGGTTTTATTTGCTCTTCGTTGTGGCTATGTTGTGAATTTTACACAGGAGTTTTAACTTAAAAGAAGCCTATGGGCGAGGCTCAGGCTTGCGGAGACCGGAGAGGCTTACAAGATGCGGCAAAAGGGGGGGGGAGGAGGGTGGGAAAGCTAACTGAAATAAAATCATTGTTTACAACTAGATTGGACTCACCATACCACCAGCACCTCGAAACCTTTGTCGAGTTGTCATAAGAAACTAATGCTGACCAAATTTTGAAAACTTGTTCCCATTTCGTAAAAGTCAAAGCATAAAAACTCACCACTTGCCTTAAGGAAGGAGAATTCTTCTTCTGTAAGACTCCTTGTACAGATCGATCTATGACACACAATCTCTTCCTCAAATGGGGTGTTCCCCTGAATTACTGATATATTGCTTCATTCTCGTGATAATTATATAACCGACTGAGCAGAACACACCCAAGTAAAACAAAACTAACAGATTAATAAACAAAGGGGTAGTTTTTAAAGAAACTGCGGTGCTGCGTCCACGGTGGGGGATCGGTGTCTAAAAAATTAATTTGGGTTTATCAATCGAGTTTTTGATAGAAATTGGCCAAAGTAAGGGGTTTGTGGCTAATTTGCATAATTAACTCAGTCGATAAAACCAAGCAGAATAATAGCTACTAATCAGGAAAAATTAAGGAACTACAGTAATACAAGAGGCTTGTACGAGTCCACCTTAAAAGGTATGCAAAGTGTCTCAAATATGAAAGAACACTAACTAGTGATCAGGTTGCAATTGGATTTCGAGCCTCAGAAGAAGAATATTTTTGAAGAGTGACGAAGGTGGTGTGAGTTTACTCTGGACAATTGCAGCATCCAAAATTTAGTTTTTCAATTGATAATAAAATGGCGCCTCCTATAACTCATAGACGGATATTGTGTAATTTGATCATGGCCGGGATTTACGATTATTGACCATACAAACGAAATTTGCCTGTAATAATCCATTCAAATATATGAGGTTTTTCAAATGTAATTTCACACAGCCGCATTTTTTGCTCAAAAAAGAGCTCTGAGACAAAGCGTATCGAACGCAACCTGGTCCGGCATCTGTGCTGAAAGCAGAAATCGATGAAATGATTTCTTTCACGAAACACTTACCAGAAACCTAGTAAAGAAAAAAAGATCGATACGAAGAAGATGAAACAAATTTATACAATGATAAAACCTTGTGTTGAAGATGTCATTAGGCCCTTCACAGGCGGGATCATCATATAGCTTAACCAAACAGGAAGTTGGCATACACACGTACATACGTACATACGTTCATTATGTTGAGAAATAACACTTTTTCACAGCACGTCTGCGGTTTTGATATTTCGAAATCTACTCAGGACTTAGCCGAATTAATTTTTTCTGACTCCAGGCTGAGAGAAAGTGACATGTTATTCGGGATTAGTTTGTAAAATTGCCACGATCTACCGTCCTTTAGAATTATCCCAGTTAGCTCGGAAAATTTCATGACATTGAATCAGAACTTGTTTACTTAAAAGGATTTAATTCAAATCGTGCTGTAGCGAATCCCGGCCTCTCTGGGAATCGAAGCGAAACAAGGAAGGAAGCTTAATGCGGTACGCAACCATACTTGCTTTCTAATAAATATATCAAATATTTCGTTTGTTTTCTGGAGTTACAGCACGAGAGGTAAGGAAAACTTCTCAATCGAAAGTGATCAATTAAAAATAATAATAATTGGATTCTCGATCTGGAGAAAAATCTTACAGAGAACAAATTTCGAAAATTACAGAGAACAAATTGAAAAATCTTACAGAGAATAAATCTTACAGAGAACAGCGCCGCCTCTGGAACAAAAGTGAGGAAGTTGTCCTCTCGGAATGCACTAAAAAATAGCACCCCCCCCCCCCCCCCGCTAGGGTCGAGGGACGGGATACCCAAAGCATAAGTAGGATAACTCATCATGATCTAACCTCCCCCGCGGAAGTCTGTCCGTTTGTCATAAGACCAAACAACTTCTCCACACGAAACCAAAGGAGCCATGCCCTAAGACACGAAACAATGTTTAGGGAAAATGCATGACACGTTCCTATATTCCACGACTTAATTCATCGCTATAGCGCTAATAACAAAACAATTCATTTAATGACCGTCAAGAACTTTGATATGTGGAAACTGAAGGTACTCTTAATCCTAACAATGACAAAATGTACGAGAGAGGACCTCTAAGACGGCCAAAAAGCTCCTTTTTAGCAGACACGTTCAGTTCTGTGCTGGATTTTTCATATCATTTCCGTATCTTGCAAGGCATTGACGGTGATTAAATTCCCAGGTAAGAGACTTGGGAATCCCATATTGGCCACAAGATGCACGTAATAGTTCTATTACAATAGACCATGCGATAACTGCATTAGGAATGAAAACTAGCGATAGGATCACCTACTGATCACTCATATATATATATATATATATATATATATATATATATATATGGTTTACTCTAGTTTGAGCACTCTGGCATGGCTTAGACGATACCACAAAGGTTGGGTCGTTTGGGGTGACCGTCTCGGTTCTCCCCCATCCTAGCATTAGCACTGCACTGATGAGGCCCAGAAGGCCGAAACAGTACTGTCTGCAGTTAGTTATATATATATATATATATATATATATATATGCTCACTAGTTTACTCTAGTTTGAGCACTCTGGCATGGCTTAGACGATACCACAAAGATTGGGTCGTTTGGGGTGAAACGTCTCGGTTCTCCCCCATCCTAGCATCAGCACTGCACTGATGAGGCCAAGAAGGCCGAAACTGTTCTGTCTGCAGTCATATAACTGCATATATATATATATATATATATGCAAGAAACAAACCTGTTCTAAGAAAGCGAATGAAACGAAAGACACCGGCACAAATACAAGCATTGTATTTTAATAGAAATTAGAAATGACTTTGGTAAAACATGTTTTAACTTGCGCGGTATACCACAGATAAATCGATACCAAAAAGGCGCCATTTTAATTTCCCACTGTGAGCAGGAAGGCAAAACATTTCCGACCGTGGGTGACTAGTCTGACGGTTAGATTACGGATCGTTGCTCATATCAGTGGAATAATCGAGAATTAAAAAAAAAAAAATTAGTCTGTCATGGGACTTTCAATGCGAATAACTTTTTCATTATGTACCGCACGACGCTTCTGGCTAAAAGTAAAGCCGACCTTTTGAGTTAATTAGCAACCTGTCTGATACTGATTAATGAAAGCGTTATATCCAGTTTCCTTTTATTAAAAAACGTCATTTACTGTCTTTAGGAAAGGATGCATAATGATTACAGTGCGTGGGAAAACACAAGAGAAGTCGCTTTAATGCACTTTCTTTGAAATTTGTGTATGATTCAACCGCCGACTATAAATTGTTCGTTTTGGCCGAGTGTTTTGGAAAGAGTTTTAACATTTGAGTCATCTAACAAGGCCAAAACGGAGCCCCGTTTGGCTCGGTGAACTCAATTTTTGTGGTCATCTTTTGAAATATTTTATTCATCAAGATGTATTCTCCCTATTCTTCAACATGATAAACGTAAGTCTCTGACATCTTTGATGTCTTCTATAAACTATGTGCTTTCAAAATTAAATAGTAAGAATTTGAAAGGAAAATTTAGAGTGTTCCTGCAATCTTAGCACAGTTGACAAAAACCTATTATACAGAAAGTGGCGAAAAGCATGACTCTTTGTCGGGTTATTTTTACACCTTCATCTTCACATTGAAAGAGAATTCGACGACAACGTAGCAAAAAATAAAAATAAAAAAAGAGAGAAATACAGAACTGATAATTAGAGAAGCATTAACCAGAAATCATAAATTATACATTTCGCTTTTGCTAATGAATTACTCAATCGGAATAAGTGTTGGAACAGACGTGAAAAAGTAAATGTCGAATTACGTTCATTTTTCATAAATGAGGAAATGTTTTTTCAAAAAGTAAATTTACTTTCCCTGATAAAACAAACAGAAATAAAACATATGAATAAAGGTCACGAATTGTCTAGCTAAACATTTTGTCGTTCACCTATCAAATTGGTAGACATGATATTTTGCTAAATGGATTTTGATCTTTTTTTGAGAAATCGCATTAGTTGTGGAAGAAATCTGATACGGCACGCTCACATTAAAGAGCCACGATACAAGCAAACATTGTCCACTGTGTTGACTTAAGTTGGAAAATAACCCTTTAAAAACGGTGAATTTGCTTTCAAACTTTCATTGACAACACCTGCAGCCCGCTTCTACTTGGAGAGATCTTCCTCTTTTGTTATTGAAGAACGGCGAAAGACTAGAAAACCTGTATAACTAAACGCTTTTTAAGCCGTTGATGAAATTATTTGAAATAGTTAAAGTGTGAGTGGAAATTTGATAAAAGCGGACGTTCAAGAAAGGACATTTGTTGACAAGCACGCATCCGAAAGCAAAACTATCACGAATTTTCAATTTTTGCTCATTTTCTCCATTCATATTTATCCGGTGATATGATCGACGAGACTTCCGAGACGAAAGTATCATTTTTTATTTAACTATTCGTCGGTGCTCATCTAAACATCACGAAAGTATTGATAATCCGGAGACTTCCAACCATGTCATAAACTTCTACCCAGCGAAACCATAGCTGAGTGGTGTCTTTAGTCTTGCAGTCTTTTACACCAAAAAGATCAACCCAAACCATGGACGAAAACGCATCAATGACCACCATTGAAGTCTTTGCTTGGCAGCTAAAAGGCCGAACGACTGCCATTCATATCGCAGAGTCTTTCTTTATAATGTTGATCAACTCCCTTTCTTTCTTTGGGAACCTTCTTCTTGGAATCGCTGTCATCAAAAACCCGAATCTTCGCAGGACTGTTCCCAATATGTACATCATAACTCTGGCGGTCTCAGACTTCTTGATGTCTTTGCTGGGAATTCCGTTTTCAGTGGCCTCTCTAATCGTTGGAAAATGGCCATTCAGCAACTTTGTCTGCCAGCTTCAAGGTTTCTGGATTCTTCTTATGTGTGCAGTGTCGTTACAAACGTTAGCAGTCACTGCTGTGAACAGATACTTCCGTGTTGTGCGATCTCGCTCGCAGTATCAAAAATACTTCAACATCAAGACAACAAAGGTAACAATCGCGATTTTGTGGATCTTGGCTTTGTTTGCGCCCCTTCCATACGTTGTTTCCGGACACGAGTTTTTCTTTCACACCGGTAAAGTTTTCTGCGCGCACAATGCTGAGAGCTTATATCAGGGATACGGAGCTTACCTGGTTCTCGTCTATGTTCTTATTCCTTTAATTATCATCATAACTTGTTACACCAAAGTGTTCTTCACCGTTCGGAAACATAACCTCAACTTTCGACTCAGTCAAAAACGAAGACAGCTCAACCATCGCAGTGATAGTCTTCTATCCGTGGAAGAAGTCAACGTTACCTATATTCTCCTTGTGGTTGTAATTGGTTTCTTAACCTGCTGGACCCCTGTGATGGTTATCGACTTGATTGATTTCATAAACGCAGATTGGAAACTCAAACGCCAAGTTTACGTGAGTTACACTTGTTTTGGATTTGCTAGCACGTCGCTTAACCCCATCATTTATGGTATCATGAATCGTTCCATCCGGGCGGAGTACTTGCGCATCTTGGCGCCTTTGAGGGTGTGGGTGTCTCACGGTACCGCGAGCGATGTCAAAGCCGACACTGCAACGGACGAACCTGGAAACAGCACCCGACGAACTTTGGCCGGAAATAAAGTGGGCGTGTCGTTTGATTATAGCGAAGAAAGACTGCCATCTCAGAACAATGGCTTTCATAATCACAAGACCTCATTGTATCGAGCCGATAGCTCGACACAGCCAGCGAGCAGTCGAGGTGTACATGGGATATCCAGCATCAAATTTGGGCCAACATATTCCTTGTGACGTAGAAAGAGTCACTATGGTGATACTATGAAAAGGGAAGGTGTACCTGTGTCAACGCAAGTGGTGACACAGGTACAAATGACTGACTGACTGATCATTAATTTTCATGTAAAGGACTTTAAGATGGATCCTCGAAACGTTACGAAGGAGGGATATAAATTTTTCTCTTAGATTTTCATAGCAGCTCTTTAACTTTCTCTGCGAATTCGTTTTCTCGGAGAATCGCTTCATTTTTAAACTCTCGAAAAAATCCCGAGAGACCAATTTAGGGCAAAAGTGTTCAGAGATTGGCCGTTTTCACACTACAAACGGATAATCCGTCTCGGGCGGATTATCCGTTTTAGTGTGAAAACGGGACGCTGTTTATTTTGGACGGATAATCCGTCTAATTTTATCCGTCCGATTATCCGTCTATGTAGACGAATTTTGAAGACGAATTATCCGTCTTTGACGGATAATTCGTCTTGAATACACATTAGGACGGATAAAGTCAGCTCATTTTGCCCTGAAAAGCCTGGAACTAGAAAGAACGCACTGAGTTCTGGGAAGGAAAACATGGCGTCTAAAGTGGCGAAAAGGAAAGCAGGAAAGAAACTAAAAAGGAAAACGTGGAAGGAGAATGAAGTCTTCCTTTTTGCCACCGTTTTGTCTTCTTTAGAAGAGAGAGACAAACCCTGGGCATTTATTCTAGAAACGTTCGCCTTGAAGAAGACTGCAAACGAACGTATTTTTATTAAGATACTGGAAAAGTTTGATGATGTATTGGCGAAAAAAGGTAAAGAGAAAGACGAGAACTACCAGTTTACTGTGGCACAACTTAGAGCAAAGTACAAGGGGTTAAAAAAGGAATGGAGGAGGCTAAACACGCTGGCATATTGTGGAATTGTAACCGCGCCTAAGAAAATACCCGTGTTCTATCTGTCTTATGTGAATTCAAGACGGAAGATATTCAACAGTTCATCTGTCCAGAGTTCCCTCTATTAACTCTGATCTGTCTCGAATTCAGACCAAGACGGAAAATGGAGTAGACGGATCATCCGTCGAGACGGATTATCCGTCTCTAGTGTGAAAACGGCCATTGAATCCGAAATACAGTGCTTTGTGTATCATACTTATATGTGCTGCTTATTTAAACTTAGTGCTTCATAACCGTGATCTTTGAAACAAGTATTGCGTATGACGCAGACAATCAGTTGTGTTCACGTTTGATTTGCTATTTGTAGCTGAATTGCGTCTGTCATCTTTTTTGTTTTGTAAACCGATTGAAAGTAATCATACCCACCTTTTCTAAAAGTCGTTACATCTATTGAGTGCCAAGTACCGAAATGTAAATACGATTTTCTTTCTCTTTTCCGGTGCGATTTACTTAAAAAATGACTGATACGATTTCAGGAAAAGAGCCATGGATTCCACGGATTTTTTGCACGGTCTGTCTTTGTTTCTTAATCCATGTGGTTGATTGACGTTTCTTTTGTGCTTGGACCTGTAACAGTAGTAGCAATCATAACCCTTTAACTCCCATGAGTGACCAAGACAGAATTTCTCCTTACAATATCAATACAATATCAAGCAGACAAGTACTGAGAATATGGGAAAATGTCAAGTAATGGATCATTAGTTGATTTAATACCAAACTCCCCAAACTCAAATCATAAAAATTGTAAAGCAGACAGTAAACATCTTATTAACCAAGCCCAAGGGCCGTACTGGGAGAATATCGGCCCGAGGTCTTGACAGTACGGACCTCGCTGCGCTCGGTCCGTACAAAAAAGACCGAGGGCTGATATTCTTCCAGTACGGTCCCGAGCAAGCTTGGTTAATAAGAGATTTATTATACGACTGAAGTTCAAAGGGACACAAGTGCAGTATCATTTGGGACCATTCGGGACAGTGCCCGGTCCAATACAGAGAGAATATTGACCGGCAATAGAGCATTTTGATTGGTTGATTTTAGTTATTGGCCCTCTGACTGCCCGAGTCGTGTAATAAAGAGAATTACTAATCAGATCTTGGGAGCGAAAGGGTTAGCTGATATAAGCATTGCACATTTTGAGTATTGCTGTAAGGAAATCCAAGCTTTCAAATCGTAAAAGTAAAGACTATATTCCAGATTTTGTTGGCTGTTAATTTTCATGTTATGTGATGCTCAGTAGAAAAGGAAAAGAACAGTACTAGTTATAGGCCTTTAATTAAAAGTTGAAGGAGCCTTCTCATGACATACCTTACAAGGAATAATTGTGTGAGGGGCCCATAATTTGATCCTCCTCCTCTTCGCCTTAAAAAAGTAGACACTTTCTATTTAACGCTAAGAATGACTAGTGTCTACTTTCTCCTTACTACACCACCCCTGAAGCACACATTAGGTCAGGAGAATAAAGGAAATGATCTCCAACTAAAGAAGCTCTTGATTGTTAAACAAATTCTCCTTGTTAGCACCTTAAGAAAAGTATAGAGAACAGTTTGGAGAATATGCATGCTAATAGGGTGTAAAGGGGCAAGAACGGACAGACTCTGTCATGGGCCACTTTTTTTCCAAATCTTGCAAAACCATCAGGGGCGGATCCAGGAATTTTTTATTGGGGGGGTCCAAACTTTGGTTCAGAAAGGACTGCTGGACTTTTTGAGGCTAATATACTTCTCCCCCACACCCCCTCCCACCAGTCGCGGTTGCACGTCATAATTCCTTGGCCGCTTACTTGGATTCATTAATTTAAAAAATCAGCCAGTTAAAAAGTGATAAATAATCCTGTGGATGTAAGAATTTCAGTCTCAAAGTTGTAAGCGTCAGGTCTGATAGGGGAGGTCCGGAACCCCCGCACCCTCCCCCTGGATCCGCCACTGACCATGTACATCAAATGAGTGCATGAAACTTTATATTTGTGCTAGGACACCTTTATAGCTATGTAGAAGCTGTTTTTCAGTTCAACTTATCTTTGAACCGATGAAACATTCGAAAAGAAATGCACGTCAAACTCTTTTCCTCACGTTTTTGTTCCCATCTTTAATTAATCGACGTAAGTCACAAAGCATGATTAAACTTTTAATACGGAAAATACAAAAATACTAAACCAAACATCACATACATTCCACCGATATAGTCAATCGAAATAAACTTATAAACCTATACATATTCGTCGATGGATCTATTGATTCATTACTCATTTAATTTTGCTTTTGACTCACGAGTAATTTCACAAATGGAAAATGAGGCTTTTTACAAAATAAAATACCAAGATCATAATTACGAAGAAAGTACATTTGAAGTGCTCATTAATTCTCTTTGGCTCACCCCTCTCCCAGGAGTGACCAATATATCAATTCTCCTTAAAAACCTAGTACTATGCTGGGCAACAGCTTATGAGAATTTAGAAAACGATCAACCTGGGATTAGTGCTATGATATATAACACATTTTTGGTAAACAAAAAAAACGTAACAGAAGATTGCATTATCAGCATTGGGTAGAATCAGCATGTAGATCACGAGGTGGCTGTAGATCTCTTCATTTCAAGCAGAAGTTAAGTTGACAAATACAAATCTTATATTAAGATCTGTGAAAATGCGTGAATCAGAAGAATCAATATCTTGCGTACATGATACTCCTTTAATAGGCCCTCCTAGCCACATAATACGAGCCCGCTGAGACATCAAGTAAAACAACGGCACAAGCCATTGCACGTAGATTTCACATTGTAGATTTTTTACTGTCACCCTCCCTATGAAAAAATTTTAACTACGCCTTTGTGGATCGTTAGAGTGAAAAAACGTTTTGAACACTAATTCTGATTCAGTTTGAGTATCGAACTAGCAAGACAAAATATACAATCACAGTCGCTCGGGGCTGTCTTGAGTTTGAAAATATCTACATCACGCCGTATATTCTCAAATTAATTGCTGGTTTACCTACAACTATTTACAATCTAAGATTTATTTTACCAGCAGCGAATTTTCAATTTTGTTCATCGGCGTCAAGGGCTCAAACGCTTTGTAACATTTCCCGCCTTCTGGGTTGTTGCTCACACCTAGCTCTAATTTTAATTCCACCACCCCC